CCTTGTTTACTGCACCGCCGGTATTTCTGGTTAGTATAACCTAAAACCATTATTTACCATTTTACTAATTTAAGCCCTAATAATTATACATATTTTTTTATTAGTTAAGATTGTCACTGACCTTTGTAAACAATAATTATTCTACCTGCACAAAAATATTTGGCTGAATTGATGTAGGATTAATAAAAAGTGAGATTCATCTCATGTAAAAGGGTTCTGTTTAACTTTATATTCAATTTTTATGTTTCTAATTATTTATTTTGGAAAGAATTGAATTGTCCAATATTTTGATGTGAGCTCAAAATAAGATGATTCATCCTATTTATTTATTTTTAATTTGGATCATTTACAATCATATCATCTCACCTTATTATATTATTTCGTCATTTTTGTTTGGGTGAAGTACCAATAAATGCTAAATTTAGATTTTGTGAACTGATTAGTCCCTAGGTTTTTCTTATGGACCCAAAAGTCCTGTTATAAGTGAAATTACTTTAAGGGATGGGGGCAGAACACGCGTGTGTGGAAAACAAAGGGTGAATGTGGGATTTTGCAATAGGCTGAAATTACACATTTACACCAAGTTCACTATAGATTTTTTGTGTTTTCCCTCCTTTGCAATCGAATCTCACACTATCAGGGTAGGAAAGATTCTGTATTCCCAATGTTGAATTGTTGCGTAGTTAATATGACATTGGGTTCCAATGTTCTTCGTTGCAACTTCCAGAAGTCGTGAGATTGAGGCACATTAGGATACAGAAACCTTACATTGTGTGAACGAGGGATTGGGTGTTAGAGCCAGCAGACGTTGAATTTGTATTGTTTAATGGGTGTTGCAGAGATGACGACGCCACGACCAAGTTAGTGATGTTTATTTGAAAAGGAGTCGGGAATGGGAGGCCTATTGATAGGGTTTGCTAGCGTAGAGTTAGGGGTTGTAGTGTTGGGGTTTAATACTGATGTTGTATGCCTTTTTTGTGGTATGTGCTTGCTATGAAGCACGGATACTTCAAAAAGGGTGACGTATCCGTATCGGATACTTATCGGATACCGATACTCCTCGGATACTCGCGGATACGTATCGGATACTTCTTAAAAGTATCGGACACTTCTTAATTAATTTTTTATTAATTTTGAAGTATCGGATACTCGAAATTACATATTACTTATAATATTTTGTTTAGTTCTTTCATAAGAGGAATATAGTGAGAGGTTAAGTAATAGAATTTGTCAAATTGGTGTATTCTTGTTGTCTCTCTCACTCCTCTCTCACTTTCTCACTCTCTCACGTTTCTTCTCTCTGCTCTCATTCTTTTTTTGGTGTTGGCATGTAAGGATGATGTTTAATTTGCATTTGCATTTGTTTTTGCTTTTAGTTTTGGATGTTTTATGAATGTTTGAGCACTTTTAGGTTAATAGGAATCCCTCTCTTTATTTATTAATTTACTTTAAGTTTTATTTTCATGCATATTACATTATTAAAATCAAAAAAAAAAAAAAAAAAATTATGAATGTATCCGCGCTGTACCCGTATCATACTTTTTCAAATTTTGACATATCGCCATATCCACATCCCCATATCACCTTATTCGTATCCCTCCTTCCTAGGCTATCATTGATGACTTAAAAAAGTATATTTGCTGAAATTTTTATTTAAGAATGGTTTTTTGGCTTTGATTTTAGCTAAGGTCTTGTGATATTCACTGATGAAGAGGAACAAGTTGAAGCTATTGACCTTGAAGACTCTTAGTTTTGTAGGAATCTTTCTTCTTTATCAAGTTGTCTTTTGCTTTAAGTTTTATTTTTATGCATATTGCATTACTAAAAATTGTTAAAATAATATTTTTTATGAACGTATCCCCGCCGTACCCGTATCCTAATTTTTTAAATTTTGTCGTATCGCCGTATCGTATCGTATCCGTATCCGTATCCCGTATCCGTATCCGTGCTTCCTAGTGTGCTTGGTATTTGGTCCACCACTGTTAGATTTTTGAATTTTGTTGGGTTTAGATTGTTTGGCAACATCGTCTGGTATTCAATCTTGTGTTGATGTGTGCTTTTTTTTTTTGGTAGGATATTCTGTGTTTCTCTCACTTTAATACTGATGTTGTATGCCTTTTTTGTGGTATGTGCTTGGCATTTGGTCCACCACTGTTAGATTTTTGAATTTTGTTGGGTTTAGATTGTTTGGCAACATCGTCTGGTATTCAATCTTGTGTTGATGTGTGCTTTTTTTTTTTGGTAGGATATTCTGTGTTTCTCTCACTTTTAGGTTGGGGTATTATCCGGGTGGCACATTTTGCAATTGGATTGTGATGTTAATGGATGATATTATGAGAATTCCACATACACATTAAACCATATAACCAAAATGTGGTCCTGGTTATGTGATCCTAATGTCTATGTGGTTTGGCATTACATGTTGGCCAACCTAGGTGTAGTGCCCCGTGTTGTGGAACTGTAGATGTGTTGGATCTGCTTATATAACACGGCATTAACACTGTACTCAACTATGTCGTTGAACGATATGAAAATAAGGAGTAGTGGTTATATTGTCAATGTGTATGGACATTGTTCTGCCGAGGTTTTCTAGTGTTTTTTTATTGTTTTAATGTGTTCTTATTTTTAAACCAGTATGGGTCGGAATGGGTGGCTGATGTGTTGTTGTAGGTGTTGTTTGTATGTGATTCAAAAATTTGCGATAGTTGTTTAGGTCTTTGATGGGAAATGTTATATTGGTTATTATGTGTTCCGTCACACTTCGTTGAAAATGTGTTATTGGGTCTTCCATAAGCTTGTGAGATTGTATTAATTGTTTGCGTATGTAAGGAATTGTTAAGGCATACACGTTTACATTGGAAGTGCGTTTATGGAGAGTGATAAGAATTATTGAGTCCATGAATGGAACAATGTTTTGCACGTTTGGTGAGCGAGTCCTGTACAGTCATAACCTAAGTACACTGTAATGCACATGACAAAGAATATGTTATTCAACTCATTGTCAACATGATACAAACATGTGTATTACACATTAGTATACAGTTATGTGGAAATGATGAATTCAAGCGTCGATCCACCTGAACTTATTGTAACCAGGTACGTCGAACAACACGTATACCAGACCCGGCACCAACCCATCAAACTTTCCACAAATAACATCAACAATTCTCTCGAACGTCGATGCATCATGCAACCGAATAGCAGCATTGGTTTTGTCTTACGTGCACAACAACAAAATCCCAGCATCCATACCTGCGCATAACAAACACATGGCCATCACACATTCCATACATTACACATTATAGTGATGTATAATTTTTTTGAATTAGACACCATTACAGTTAACTTCTTGATTGAAAAAAAAAAAATGAAACCCAGATTGAAACAAAACCACCATGATGACAAAACATGCTAACGTGCATCAGTAAACCAACATAGACACATCGAGACCACTGAATGCGAAAAAAATTGCCAACTGTGTAGAAAACCACCTCGATCAACCACCAAGCAAACCCAAATTACACATAAACACCCACCATTAACACAACACACGACAAACATGAAAAATGACCCCTAACCAATAACAATACCCACCCCCCTATCCAACTAAAAAATCACATCACACCCCTGTACATAAAGAACAATCGACCAAAATGTATATACCTTGTGTCATTCTGTTAGACCCGAGCAAATGCAACACCACCGTCTCTAGAAAAACACACTAGTAAAAAAGACTCCTGTTCACTCCCCGAAATGCCAAAATCCACATCCACCGTGATACACTCTACCAAATCTCACACACAGAATAATATCAATCACATCTTACCCACCAAATCTCACACACCCAGCAATTTGTTCCCAAAATGAATCACTAAAAAGGGTATTCTAGTCAAGAGATACGCCTTCTCAAAAAAAACTAGGACCAATCAGTCCATAAGAAAACTCTTAGGACTAAATGGATCAACACTCCCCCATATAGGATTTATGGGTAAATTCTCCTTTTTGTTTTGTAGTATATTTTAAAATTATATTTATTATTGGAAAATGTTACGAACCCCAAATAATCTACCAAACTTCGACCCACACAAACTCACACAAGTGAGAGATTTGGCAGAAAATTTAGTAGATTATTTGGGATCCCTAACATCACTCTTTATCATTTATTTATTACAAGAGTCTAGTTAATATGTTCTTTTAGAATAAATGCTAAAAATATTTAAAAATATTATGGTCTTGTTTGGTTTGTTTTTAAAATATTTCGATATTTCTTTAGAAAATTATTTTCTTGTTGCTGCTTATTTGTGATAGCTTCCAAGACTTTCGACTTTTAGGTTCTCCTTTATCTTCCTTCTTATATGTAGTTACGTCAATATCTATGTTTGTGTTTGTTTATCTCGGTTATATACAATTGTTATACAAGTTTCAAATTTCCAATTCATTCCGAAACTAAACGAAGCTTAGGATTTGAGGATTTATTTTGATGTTTGTTAATTATGAAAATCTTGATGAAGCTTGATTTTGTGAATTGTGACATGTTCTTGTATGAAAGGAACAGCTTCTCTTGATCTCAATTGGATTGTTTATTTTTTATTTTTGGAAAAATCTCTATTGGATTTTTGTCATTACCTTTAAGTAACTGTGTGATATAAGGGAAAGACTTTAAATTGTACTTGAAGGGTTAAGTTGCTTGAGGGTATTAATAACAAAATCAAAGAATCCAACTTTGATTAGATAGTATATTAGTTTCTACTTGTATATATATATATATATTCTTCAAAACCTAACATTGTAGGGTTTGGGAAAGATTCTAGCATTCACCCGAACTTCTTCCCCCTAATTTAATTCGGATTTCGGAGTACCTCTCCTATAGATTTGACATTCATTGCAACCTATGAAATACGGATACTTCTAGATGAGAGTTGCATTTGTATCGAATATCAATACTTCTCAGATACTAGCATAAACCTATTTGATACCTCTTAAATGTATCTATAATTTGAAATTTATTTTATTTTATTTCAAACAAGTACTAAATCGGCTATTCAATTGATCCTAAAATCAGAATGTGTGGAGAATTGATCTAAAAGAGAAGATCAAAAAGTTTTGAGCAAAACTAGAATAGAGAAGAAGAATACAATGGTCAAAACCTTAATCTCACAGAAATGGCCACAACCTTTAACTAGCCAATATTATTATCTCAAAGCTAACCTAAAACTATTACATAGAGCCATATATACAGGCAACATAGGAAACCCTAATTAAAAATAACAAAGTAAATCATGACATTATTTGGAAGCCTAATTTGTAATAAAATAAGTAACTAAATATACTAAGGTTTTAATTAAATTATTAATAAAAAAAATAAATAAACATAAATCAAAAAAATGCAAATAAATAAATCCACATATCACGTTCTGCATCATCTAGATCATGTGTTTAACTTATTTTGAAAGTTGAGTATTTCTTGCATAGCATTAGAGTAATTGTTAGGATAAATACAAGAGTAGTTTCTAGGTAAGAAGAATTGGGAAACATTTAGAATAAAGCATGTCAAATTTGGTCCAAGTTCGAGTGGACATAATGAACCCTCAATATATCTTATATGAATATATTATCAATATTAATATATAAAGGGGCTCATTTTGGTGTCGATCATGTACTGAAGCTGTGTATTATTTTTCTTCTATCAAGTTATGGGCAATAATCAAAATTCTCACAAACTCCTTTCCACTTAGAAACATTAAAATCAACTTACCACAAATTCACATCCTGACAACTTCTCCCGAAACTGCTTTTCACTTGCAGGGCCGGCCATGAGTTCGTCGGGGCCTAAGGCGAATTTCGGAAATGGGGCCCTTTTATATTGAAGAGTTGCAAAGTACATTGTCTCTGTGTGTATTATATATATATATATATATATTTGCTCTATCAAAGAGGAATAGACTTTCCAATTCCTCCAAACCAATAGTATGGAGCAGAAGAACATTCAATTATCTCCTTGGATTTGCTTAGTAATTTTATACTATCACCACCACCTTGGTTTAAATGACATCACTTATGTTGGAAATTGGGCCGGGTATTGGACCCGAATTTGGGCGCTTATGTGGCATGACCCATGGCCCATTCAAATTACCCATGTAATTTGAATTTGATTTCTTGATTATCCTATTTGTTAGGATAATCCTCTATCTATCTACATCAATTCTATCCTTAGGAGATATAGATAGATGGATATATATGGTTAGATATTTGATTATATATTTTAATATATAGAACATCAGATACGTGATGTGGTTTTTTATCTATAACATTTTTTCCCTATACTCTCTCTCTCTAAGTCTCTCCCATCAGAGAACGATCTAGCCTTTGCACTGTGACTAGTGTGGGTGATACTCATACTGTAGTATCACTCCATTGCTGGTTGTTCATAGTTAATGGTTGTCAAGTACGTGATTTACCAATAAGGTTCGTTGTTTTGGATTCTTTTACACAAGATATAGTTTGAATCATTTTACCTGTTGCGTTATCTGTATCTTACATTGGTATCAGAGCCATAAATGGGTATTTTCGTGCATTAAAATATGTATATAATTATATATATATACACACGTGATATATGCATGAAAAATTAATATTTTTTTGAACTGTCCCCGATCAACTTGAAATTTACATATGTTGTGGTATATTTCATGTAGAATATATCTGCAAAGTTTCATGAAAATCCAATGGTCGGATTTTGAGAAAAATGGAGATTCATATTTAATTTTTCGAAACTTTGACTGCATGCTGGTTTTAAACGCTTTGTTTTTATGTTATGAAAATTATATATTTGGAATCCTTGTTTTGATACTTTCGAAATGCTATATTATGGGCTTGATTCCGACTTACGGTTGATGAGAAAAAAAAAAACTCTAATTTCGGTTCGTTTTGTGTTTTTGGTGGCTTAAGGAAGAAGATGAAGTGTAGAGTTTCTGCACTTCCACTCTCATTAGAGAGAGGGTGTGCTACACTCTATTATTTGTATTTGTTAAATGTCATTTTTGATACCACCATAGTTTTTATTTTGGAAAATGGAGTCCAGCAGTACCAAAATAGGACCAGAAAACACACCGGAAGGCAGCGCGTGTGCCTCATGCGCCAACTGACGCCGTCAGCGGCGGCCACGTGCCATCACGCGCTGGGCGTGCTTCCACGCTCCATCACACGCGTGTCAGCCACGTTGTCCACGCGCGCCGCGCGCCCAGCCGAGCCGTGCTGTTTTCAGCGCCGGCTTGTTTGGTTTGGCAGCTGGGTGTAAGGCACTGTTTGTTGTTTTTTAAAATCTAGAATTGCTTTTAATGGTCATAAGTAATTCGTTATAGCTTTGTTTTAAGCGTGGTTGGTACTGTTAGACTTAGAATTAAATTTTTAATCTACTGTAAAATTTTCAAAATTTTATGAAAATAAAAATGTTTTTCCTGAAATAATAATTCATTATTTCTACTTTATAATGGTTCTGGTGTTGCATGACTAAGTTTCTGGGCTAAAATTTTTTCTGTAGACTACTGTAATGGTTTACTATTTACTGGTATGATTTTTTCTTTTTCCCAGATTCTGGAATATTTATTTCTGATTTTATGTGTATTTATTAATTATTTGAAATTCCAGAAAATATCAGAAAATTTTAGAAAAATTTCAGAACTGATATACTTTATGTTATGGCATAATCTGAATATTTAACATAGCATATTGTTATTTTTTGCCAAGAGAGTTTCTAATATGTTGTGATTAGAATAACATGATTAATTGTTTTTTATTTAAATTCCATTATTAAATGTAACATAGCGTGAGTTGATTGTGAATCTACATTAAGATGCTATTGTATGGAATTAGAATATTTTATCATGCTTTAGACATGCCATAGTCAGAGGGAGGTTGTTCGGTTGAGAGAAATCTTTGTAGATTTAATCCTGAAAACTAATATTTTGCGCATGAATTAAATTAAATTTTTGGATAATTGTCACCTGTGGCACAAGAGATGATTACGAGCATAGCGGATTTTCGATCTTGCGACTTGTGTAATATTGCCACTATTTAATTTAGATTTTTGCAGTAAAATTATATTATGCTAATCAAATTAATCCCAATGCGAATTTCTCTCTAAATTGACGTAGCTTATGGAAGTTAATTTGGTTGACCTAAACTTAGTAGAGATGTTTAAATGTGAACAATGTAATCTTATTATTTAGATGAGCAAAAAGTCTTGGAGACTTTATGTTAGAGTTTAATTGAGCCAGAGTAAGGAAACATGACTCAAAGTCTCCGTGGTTTTGTTGCCTTGTTTGGCACAATAAAAATTGATGCATGCGCTATGGTTAGCGGCATGCTACGTAGTTTTGATTGGTGAGTTTTGGAGTTGTGAAATTAGTAAGCCCTCAATAGATCTGTATATGATCTTGAGTATTGAGCTGCGCGAATTGACTTTGTAATTTAACTTGTACTAATGTTGTATCATTGGATGAAGTAACATTCAAGAGTAACGCCATCTAAGAAATGCGAGCTTAAATGAATTAGTCATTAAGTGTAAGACGAGTAACCAGTATGAGTAATGTTTTGCTCTCTACCCAACTGTTGAGAGTGGATGGAGCAAAAATTTCACGCACTATAGTAGTGTACATTAAAGTATCACTTGAAGTTAAAAGATTAGCGCTTAGTAGAAGAAAAATCTATTAACACTAAGTGAAAAGATTAGCACCAATTGACTGCAAAATCTATTAGCATTGCCAACTTGTCCAAATATGGACACTTACTGTTTCCACACTTGAGTGTGAGACATGATGAGGCGCTTCTTTGTATGATTCCTTAGCTAGGCTAACGCTTTTGAATAACGTTTACCACTTAGCAAACGTTGCAACATAGTAATGAAAAGGTCAAGGCCGACAAGGTTGTTATGACTCTAAGAATTTGACGCATGGCTCGTGAGAGCATTGTGTTGAATTAGACTCTTTAGCCTAATTCGCGCTTAAGTTACTTCGGGAGTTGTCATAGATTGATAGCTTATTCTCTCCTTCTTGTGGATAGTAGAATTAATTGCAAGTAACTATGAAGCGAGAAACAGAGATGGCAAGAGGAGTATCATCATCTTTCAACTAGATGCAGTAAAGTGTATGGAGAATAAAATTGACTTGAAAGTGCAGGAGATTAGCACTTGCTAGTTAAATTTGCGACTTAGGTGCACTTGATATCTCCATAACATCCTTTTATGATCTAGTGAACCTGAATTTGTCGTGAGTCATTACCTAGTTGGGCCTAAAACCTTTAAAACTTGCCTTCGAGAATTCACGCATTAGAATGATTGGAATTAGTTTATGACATTGGTCATGAACTGGTGGCTTATTATACTCAATCACATTAATGAGAAGATGACATAGATGGTTTGAGTAGGCCCTCTCGGGCCCACTCGCTTGTGACATCTTGCTCTCATGTGAATGTGTAACTTTGTTCGCAATGGTTGCGCACAAGTAAGTAGGAAAGCTATAGAAGGTCATTTGTATTGGCGCATTTAGTCCACTATGATATTTGTGACTAGATATGTGTGAGGGTATGATAGCTAAGCCTCAATCTCGACACATTTATAGATTACGATACGCATTTGAGTCAAAACTATTTGATCTCCCATAAGTCAAAAGTTTTGAGATGATTTTTGACATTGCACATATGAGGTCGAGATCAATTAGATAAAAACTTTTGTGCTTTTAGTTTTGACCAAAGTGGCGAGTATCTATTTGAGTTATTTTTTAGAAAACTCTGTGTGCTTTTAGTTTTGACCAAGGTGGCGAGTATCTATTTGAGTTTTTTCTGAAAACTCTGTGAAGAGAGATGGATGCTTAGAAAATTGATTATTCCTAGTACTCAGCAACACAATGGTGTAGTAGAAATAAGGATTTAAATATTGTTTGTGTTAGGTGGATGATGGAGCAAAATGTTTCCCAATTGGGAATTGCACTAGTTTGTTGCCTATATGCTTAACTAAGTACCCTCCATATCAGATTTTACACTCCATTTAAGTAATGGGTTAGCAGAGAGCCATTTGTGAGCGATCTGTTACGATCAAGTAGCTTATCTTTATTTTACTTCTCTTAAGGTTGCGAAGTTAAGACCTAAAGATTTAGGGCGCATTATTGTATGCTGTCTTGTAAAAACTTAGGGTCATGTGGCGCATTATTGTATGCATTCATGTAAACCCTCCAGGTCATGTGCTTATAGATAAGCAGCTTTGTGGGAGTGTAACTAAGTCACATAAAGTTTTCTTAGTAAAGGTGACGTGAATAGAGTTTTGGAACTCTATAAAATAGAGAATTCTAAGTATAGCGGTTTATGTAGCCTAGTTGAGAATGGAAAGAAATTTCCAATATCCTAGGGACAGTGGGAGCGATGTGCCTACTAGTGGATTACTCCATTAGAGAAGATTACTCTACATTCTTAGTTGCGTGGTAGAGAATGTGAAAATTTTTCACGTCATCAGTAGGTGATTGAGAGGGAAACATTCATGATTGCTCCACAAGATGATAAAGAGCCTAGGATAATGCTAAAGGCTCTCTAGTCCCCTACCTTTAGAAAAGTGGATCAATGTTGCGCAGTTTAAGACAAAGTTTTTGAGGATTAACCATTTCTATAATTTTGGTTGACTTTCCGCTATGACGCAAAACTGTTCTAAAGTTATGCGCGATTTGGATAGTCATTTTTTGAGGCATAAGGCTCGCTAGATACCGAAAAGTCGCACCATTGAGGAAGGTGTAGACCATGAGAAGACTTTCTCCTGGGGAGTAAGGTTACTTTGACATAGGCTATGATTGACATGAGTTCGGAATTTTGATTTGTGGATGTTGTGACCCAACTTCTTGT